TTGATAGGGCCTCTCACATCTTCAAACATCTTCAGAATTCTGAACGTTGTCGCTCATTGTGTTCAATAGACTGCTTTCATATTTTAGATCACGCCACTATCAGCTTTCAACTCAAGATAAAGGAGGCTATTCATATTCAAAAAGAACTACCTTCCCTCAATCAGCAATTACACCATGTGAATCTAAAATTATCCTTTTAACTTACACCTTTTCACGTTCTTGTTGTTACTATTTGTCTTAATTAGCATTTTTGCCTACTTATTATTCACCTTGCTTTGTAATCATTCAGTCAACTGAAGATGACAGAAGCTCTGTCGAAACATGTCTTGCAAACTTAAAAAATTGGTCGTTTTCCTTAAAATATTTACATGTCTGCTGCTATCTAGACCTTTTGAAAACTTGATTTGCTATATTTGCTATTGCTCTGGTAAAATTGCTGTGATGTCTCTTATGTACACGATTTTCTATAGTCGAACAACAGATATCAAAGATTAGGTAATACATAGTGAATTACTGGGATCTCATTGGCACTCAATAAATCCTGTTACAGACTGTACCTGCATGCTGCAAAATTGCACACTTGAACTAGACTCTGGCCCTGCCCTGCCCCAAATAAATATAACAGCTCTTGTGCGGAGCTATGTTTAGATTCATTTACTCACTTTTAATTTTCTCTCACTGACCGCAGTAAAATTGTGACTGCACGAATCTTTTAAATTCTCTAGGTAAAATTTTGTTGCTCCAGAAAATATCTAGTATATTCCCCCACAGAGAGGGTTTTTTGTTTTTCAACCCCCACCCACCCCAATTCCAATTACGTCTCTTACTTTCCTACCATAATTTTGGCCGTTGATAACCGTCCTGTGAAGTGGGTATTTGCATTTTCTTGAACACTTATGCATATATTAACAACAGCTAATAAAGCAAACTGGATAAAAAAAGAATTATTATAATGACTGAAAAAATTACTTAATTGTGATTGGCTGAGAGCAGGCCAATTTGTCATTAATTTTTAAACACAGTAGTGTAATTTTCTCAGTCATAGTAAGTGAGTAACCATATGAAAGCTCAGATGAGCAGTAATGGATTTTCACTACTAGCACTATATAAGAAAATTCTTTCAAATTCCATTGGCCTATTAAGATGCATTTTAAGAGATTTTTCAGATATCCCTCATAGTGTAGATCCTTAATTGCACTCGCATTCATATGATTACCTATACTGATTAAATAGTTAAGATCAAGAAAAATTATTATAATAAATATATTATTATAAACATTATGGCCTCCATTTGGTGAGAAAATGTGCTCGGATATTTGTCCACAGACATAATATATATGTGTTCTGAGAAGCGAACAGTTTGCCGAACGCATATAGCTCAAGGAAATCTCTGAGCTTCATTAGGAACAGATAATGTCCAAGTACAAATAACCGAGCATATTTTCATGCCGATTGGATTATTTGTGTGTGAAAAATTCCTGGGCCTGCGATTCTCAGGTTGGTAAAAGCTAGAGAAAAGTTAGAGAAAACTGTCTTGAAAACTTTAACGACTAGTCAAGAATATTAATGCAGTGCTTTGGCTACTCTAAGTTCACATGACATCTGACAATAAAAACTACATGCATTGCCTGCCAAAAGCAAGCAAAATCCAGGACATCAGAGGGTAACACGTATTGGTGCATTGTTTCCTGGGAATGTTCACTGACAACCTCATGAAATTTCTAATTATGTCTGTGTTGACTGCTTTATATAACAAATATCATAATGACTGGTCCCACGGCAAAAAATTGAGTTTGTCGTGAAACAAAAGTAACTGTTTCCCTCAGGACTAATCATCAAGACCAGTGTTAAATAATTTCAAAAGTGTCAGGCGTGATCTTCATGGTTGATTTAGAAGAGTGTAATTGATCAAGCTAGCTTCTACATGTATTTAATAAACTGCACCCATACTGCTGATGCAAAATAATGATGTTGGCCTTAAAAGTGCATTCTTGCTATAAAAGAGTCTCTACATTAGCTGTTTCTTCTGCCCTAATCCCGTAACTCCCATTACTGTTAAGTGCTTTTCTTTCTTTTGCTCTGTTTTTGTACAGGTAAGCAAACAGAGCTATGATCAGTACTAGTACCGCAGGATACTCACCACAGGACTGACGATCAAGCCCAATTCAAGTTTGCCAGCTGAAAGAACATATGATATAAAAACAAATCTTTGAGTTAATTAAATTCTACAAAATTGCAGTGTTTTGGAAAAGTATATAATTATATGCAAACCCTTTTCTGGAGGTTACCCTGATTCCAGAGATTTTCAATCCTCTATTTCTCTTGAACCCATGAGAAATTCTCCTTTTTTCATAGAAGGTTGAAGCATAAGGCAATATTTAAAATTTGCATGGAGAATGTACATGTACATAAAAATGTTCGGTGTGTAGCCAGGCATGTTAAAAATTGGTAAAAAAGGAAAGGAATTAAATGGTTGTCACTCATTTAGTTTTATCACACATCTATTACATATTCTAGCAGGACGCCGTTTAACATTTGCATTTTCCATCTTTTGCTGAAGAAGGCAACAGTAGTGGCCGAAACGTCCGATAACCATATTTTTAGCCAGTGACAACCATTTAATTCCTTTCCTTTTTTACCAATTTTTTTTGTACATGTACATGTAGCATTACATCAGTGGTCACTTACTGTAGGTGCTTTTTGTAATTAAGCTTAGCATCTCTTCAATTATGAGATAGATAACTAGGTGATGTAAGGTAGGTGTAAAGGTTAATGACTGCATAATAAAACGCAGCAAAGTTAAGTGTATTAGTTCAGTGACTTCATCTCAACAACCCTCCTAGTTAGAAGGTTTCTATTTAAATAACTATGCAAGTATTTATGAACTAACCATTAGGATCTGGCTTCAAACTTGGTGTCACAGTCTAATAATTTGTAGGTGTACCAGCTGAAATTGATATTTAAAGCAAAATAATGTAAGTGGTGACGACCTCATCCCTTAACAACTCTCTCTTACCTAAATGTCATAATGATGTCTATTTTTTTATTTTATGTACTAACCATCAGGATCTGGCTTCAAACTTGGTATACTCACAGTCAAATTTGTAGGTTTACCAACTGAAATTGATATTTAAAACAATATGAGTGGTGACGACCTCATCCCTAACTCTATCTTACCTAAATGTCATGATGTTTTCTATTATTAGCGGAGCTCTGATGGTTGGAAGGGCCGCATCCAAGTGAAGCGCCATAACTATGGGAACAGAACCTCATGCATGCATAGAAATAGAAAATCATGCAACTCTTTTTCCACGGTCAACAGGGCAAGCAGCATGGATGGTGGGGCACATGTGCCCTATGCTGATGAAAAACGATGACATTGCACAACATGGTGGCCATGCATGTACTCCTGCTAATAGGAGTCGGACCAAGGCATGCAGCCTTGGCTTGGGATCTAATTCAGCTGGACACAAAAATTTTGCTTTTATTTACTGCCGTTTACTTTCGGTTAGCATTTATATACTGTGTTTGCTTACGGTTAGCATTTATTTGCTGCTGTTTGTTTGCGGTTAGCATTTATTTACTGCTGTTTGCTTGCGGTTAGCATTTATTTGCTGCTGTTTGTTTGTTGTTAGCATTTATTTACTGCTGTCATTTTGTGGTTAGCATTTATTTACTGCTGTTTGCTTGCGGTTAGCATTTTATTCACTGCTGTTTGCTTGTGGTTAGCATTTATTTACTGCTGTTTGCTTGTAGTTAGCATTTTATTCACTGCTGTTTGCTTGCGGTTAGCATTAATTTGCTGCTGTTTGCTTGCGCTTAGCATTTAAGGGGTGAAGGGGAAGGCGACTAAATGTGTCCTAACATGAATTATATGCCCCTGGCTTTGATATTGGACATTCATGTTATGGTTAATTGACAATCTGTCAAAACAAGGTATCTGCTGACCAGTACCATGTGCGTGACCATATTGTGGGCACAGGTTTAAACCTCATGGACGTCCCATGATTTTTTTTTAAGTTTACCGCTGACTAGGTACTGGTTTTTGATCGGATCGCAGGCTCAAGCCAGGTTAATTTATTTTCATCAGGTAACTCTGCTTTTAGGCTTGGCTAAATCTATATAGGTTACTGCTAACAGTATTTATATACTAACCATCAGGATATTGCTTCAAACTTGTAATTGGTGCCACAGTTGAATTTGTAGGTGTACCAACTGAAATTGATTTTAAATTAGCAATATTATGTAAGTGGTGACTACCTCATCCCCAAAACTCTCACTTACCTAAATGTCATTATAAATATGATATCAAAATATTATTAGTTACAGTGCCAGCTCTAATGAACTCACCATCAGGATCTGCCTTTAAACTTGATGTCACAGTCAAATTTGTAGGTGCTGACGTACCAGCTGAAATTGATATGGTGGGATGGAATCAACATTTATTTATTAAAGGGGTGGCAAAGTTCATATTTCACAACAACAACACAACAACAAAACTTTATTCCTTTTTCAGTACTTTACACGAATTTTAGGTGAATGAGTTGTGTTACATCTACACTTTATTATTAAAAATAATTAAGTTAGAAACTTAAATATAATGACAGATGAACCCCCAGGTAGCCTAGACTAATCTTAAGGCAGGCCACATGTATATTTATCTTATACCATTAATATACATTAAGCTTACTATCCCACTTTTAGAAAAAGATTTACAAAAATGTTTGTTACAAGTGTTACGAACTAGCTTTGACTGGTTATCATTTACACACATGTATTATTGATACTAAGAGCTTAATGACTTACTAGAGATAAATTAATCAGTCACTAAATCTAAGAATTTGAGTCAGGGTGTCGATTTCTTTATATTATTGTTGTTATCATTATATTATATTGTTGTTATCATTATATATATATATATATATATATATATATATATATATATATATATA